AACTTGTCAGCAAAGTCTTCGTCAGCTTTCTCAATCTCTACTCCTCTGACTGAGGAGAACTGGTCAATATCTAACACATCTTTAGCATAGACTGCTCTGGACTGAGGGGTTAAGATAAGAATAATAATCATTTAATTAATCTTATTATAATAATTAGGATTAATACTAAAACTATGCACTGCATATGTACATGTATTATGTACTAAATTTTGCAAAAAATATCTCAAAAATATGTGACATAAACCAATTAAACTTGCAAGTCTTTAACTGCTAAAAACAACAAACTTATTTCTATTTTTTGAATATAAAGTTAAATAATTTATACTCATACATTCAACAAGATTACAGCATATACATGTACATGGCTACATCACAAATGGCCTCAAGTGACAAACAAACATTACATGCAACATCCATTACAAAACATCCATTACATGTATACATGTACATGTAATGGATAATTTCTATATAATATACAGTGTATTACAATAGCACTGGTCCTTACATTGGGTATGAAAGGCGGTGGTATGAGTCCAGCCTCTAAATGAGCAAAGTCTAGAGGAGGAGAGAAGAATCATGAGTAATCAATAGAAACCAATGTGAACAAACTAAAGGATGGACTGCATTAGTTATAATGACTCCTATCTCATATAAAGGCACTGCATGAACCCTCATCACAACAGTGAATATTAATGTAAAGACACTCCTTATAGTTTGTGATGACTGTCAGACCAATTATGCAGACACTAATGATCTATTTTAGTACATGATCCAATGAAATTGTTTATACTATACATGACAGCATGCTTTGCCATCATAAGACCTGCTGCCTTGCATCAAGACTGTGTGTACCTTTGATTCTGGTCCAGCTTTAGCAATACGGGATATAGTCTGCTTACCCATAGAACTAATCAATGTACTGAACTTAGACACCTATTATAATAGATTGACATAAATTATCATAATAATAATACAGTAAGACTTATATTGAAAGCACAATAGCAGCACACAAAATGATATACTTCAATGTTGCTGAGATCTTTAGCTCTCTTTATTTGTAGTTCATTCTGTTCCCTCAAGAACTGAACCTCAGCCTCTTGCATCTGATCAGAGAATAGAAAGGGAACACATAAGAGAAGGAATAGAAAGGGGACACATACATGTAAGAGAAGAGAGGGTGTGTGT